TTAGGGCCGCTTTACGAAGCGGGCGTGGTTTTAAGGAAAACATATTTTAGCTATAACAACAGTTGTGTCGAGTGAAGCAATACTAGAACTCAAAAGAGTCATCTACATTCTGTATTGCATCATCTCCACCTAGATTACAAAGGCTACCAGATGTGACGGATATATTATTCGATAAAACAACAAAACGAAATGAAGCATAAGTAGCATTTTTGGTTTCTATGGCAAGAGTACCTTGGAAATCACTCGGAGTGTATTTGCTTTACTTGGGCAAAATTCAGAATTGGTTGGTGCCGCGTGTTTTGCTCGTCAACAGCGATTGTTTTTGTCCCACATTGTTATTGGAGACGTCTTTAAATCAACGCCAGGAACAAAGGACAACTTTTGTTTATCAAACACAAATTAATTTAAAACCTGAGAGTAGGATGCGCAGTGGTAAATTAGGGGAATGGGAAACGACACACATCTCATTTTACAGTCCATAATACACTTTTAATAATAATAAATAGACACCGGTCCTTCTTCGGCCGCCTACTTTAAAATTATTTAAAATACAGATTTCGTTTTAATTAAATTATTAAATTAAGCTAACAACTGTGCGCTCACCAACATCTGACATTTATAACTAAAGAGTGATTACACTTGGTTGTGACGTCACGAATGACTCAGGTGTGAGGTCTTGTATTATTTACATTATAGGTGGTGAATACGGTGAGAGAAGTAAAGGATTTGGTTCCCGAATGTAATTGTTATTTTCTTGTAATTGTAATTACAGTGCACAAGAATTGCTACCATTTTATTTTTTAAGCGTACACAGTAAAATATTTTTTGGTTAGGTATGACATTTTGAAGTGAAAATTTGCCAGTACCCGACGTGATAGCATTTCTTTCAACTTTTTTTAACTGTCATTTTCTAAGAATGAACATGTGTTCGTCGATGTATTCATCGTGTCTTCGTCGATGTATTCATCGTTTATTAATCGATGTATTCATCGTGTATTCATCGATGTATTCGTCGTGTATTCATCGAATCATCATTGTATTCGTCGTGTATTAGTTGATGAAAATTGATTTAGATTTAAAATGAGATATTTTGAGATGTTTTTCAACAAAGTATAAAATAATTATTTGTGTGGCGAACAAATTTCTTTAATTTATACATAGTATAAAAGCACAAAATAAAATAAAAACAACGTGGCCAATTAGACCCCAATTTTAAACACTGGATTAAAAAACCTTTAGATTATATTTGCATTATATAAAATATTCGACTAAACATTTAATTGTTAAATTATTAAATGAGTCAATAATTTTGTGTTATGGGGCCTCTAAAATATTATTTAATGATTAGTGTCTGAAGTTGATTAATTTAATTAATTTGGATTTGCCTTTTAAATTAAAAGATTTACAAATTTTTGCAAATTGCCGATTCATGATAGCTAAACAATGTTATTCAAGAAAGTCAAACTGAAAATAAAATTGATTCCAAAAATGTGAGCACAGCTGCGCTCATAAAATTTCGTTTATCTTCACATAATCAGAAAAAAAAATAGAAATGATTATTTTTAAAAAACTTTAGCACTACGTTTCTCAAAAGGACAATTGTTTATTTAATAAACATTCTGAAATTAGAACGAATGGTACTTTTATTTTTGACAGTTTACATACAGTTTCAACAGATGTAATATAAAAATACTCAAACAAAATAAAAAGGTTTAATGCAAGTTTAGATTGTTAACAAGTCCAAGATAGCAAACGCCATAACTTCAAATTATAGAAACAAACGATTTATGTCGATATTGAACATAGACATGCAGCATCTTGTTTTCCACTGCATCGTTGACGACATCAGTAACAGACCTGATCAAACCACTGTTTTTCTCGTAGATTAATAGAGGTTGCAATTTCTTCTCTATATGGCAATGTCTAAGGAACATCCTGTGCAAACGCCGCTCACAGAATATGTAATGTAAAGCAGAAATCACCCGCAGCAAAGACAGGAGATGGACTACAATCTAAGAACGACCTTGTGTTATGCAGGCAGCCACAACTTAACCAATCGCCAACTACCAGTTTTTTTTTCAAATTAAATTCAAAGCCAATTAATGATGTCTTAAGGCACAGCAGAATACATTACCACCGAACCGTTTAAACAAGGTACAACTCTGTTAATTTAATTCAATGGTCGGACAGAAAAACATTTAATTTTCATTGAGCTATTAACGTTATTGTGTTTTGATTATTATACGGCTTCGACCCTAATCGTCTTCGGTTCTTTGCGGCCACTTACGACTATGATTAATATAATTCGCTGTTAACTGGGACAATTGGTAGCTAGTACAAACGGCAAATTATCTAGATGGAGCTATTAATATTATTGGCCGATAAGCAATTAATTTAAGATGTAAATAAATCGAGAATTGTAGATAACTAGTTTTTTTGTCGCTGTCACTGAGACTGAGTATTTTTACTACTATTTCGTTCGGTAAAACAAATTAATTAGATATTTATCCAAATTAATGATAATTTTAGTTACGCTTTAGAATGTTTATACTAGTTTTTACTTTAAATATTTAAAAAATCGGTTACAAGAAGACGGAAAGAGCAAATAGAAAACCGCAAGCGTGGATCTGTATAGCTATAATGATATAGGTTGACAAATTCATTGAACTTTTAACTGAATTGAATCATACAGAAAATTTGGCGTTGTATCGGTTGCAGGCGTAAAAATTAGCATATTCCATTTGATATTAAGATGACCTTAGTTTGACCTTCCACCTTGTGAAGATCAGATCCAAGGTCAGCATTGCGTTTAACATTCAAATTCCACCAAAATTTGCTTGAAACATTTTCATCCACAATTCTGTCTTGTCTAGTTATTTGTAGAAAATAAGTTTGATCTTCATATGACCTGCAATAAAAATGTTGACCTCTATTCGGATATAAAATTTGACACTATCGGTTGCTGTCATAAAAATTGGCATTCCATTTAATATTTTCAAGTTGACCTTGGTTGACCTTGAAAGTTGAGGACAAAGTCAAATCCAAGGTCAATCTTAAACTTATCTTTTATCTTACTTTTTTGATAGAATTCGATCCTGAAAAGTTAGCGGGGGGGGGGTTAGGACTTTTTAGAACAACTTGCATATGTCGGTGCTTTGTTTTTTTAATTTTATCTAATCGTAAACAAAATGTAATTAAATTTGGAATTTTGAAATGTGGAAGGGTTGATTTTCTAAACATATATTTTGTCTGTAGAACCACAAATATATCACAGAAAGTGGGTAATTCATTATTTAACTAATGACACTAATTCGATTCTATTCTTCAGTGTGGCAAGCTGCCAAATTAAGCAAAAAAAGTTCTAGAAATATCTGTAAATATCATTGTATCTGCTACTTTCGTTTCATTACTAGGGCTGTCAGAATTGAGCCGCGGGACATAGGCGTACGCGTTATTTTTTAAAAAGCAACAAATTAAATTGTCTACGATACACCACCATAAACACAAGCGGATAGGAATACACCAAGCTGGTGAAACGGGATATTGTGTTATAATGTAATATTGATCGTATTGTTTTAATTTTACCGAAATAAGAAATATTACTGCTCCAAACAGAATTACTGATCATGTGGCTTCTAAGCATTTATGAAGTATGATAAATACTTTATAACTGTCTTCAATACCGTTAGTTCTATTTTTAAATGAGTCAGGTTTGATTTTATTTACCATACGTACAAAATATATAAGAGTTTGTTTCAACTTGTGCCAAATAGATGTCGGAAAGGTGCTAATAAATTTTTAACGAGAATAAAGGTTAATTATTTAATACAGCGCTCAATTAACTAAATTTTTCCTACCTATGCACTTCACACAACTCTTCAATTATTACTATTTCCAACACAATACAGCCTTAGATCAATTAAGACACAAATAACTACAAATTTCTTGGGACGTATATTTATAATGAATATATGTAAATATTTATATACATATATCTCTTTTCATGAGATACCAATTTTCAATCCATTTGCTACCCCTAGAAATAATTTGCGGTACTTAGTAACCTTATTTCGGAGGATATCTGTCAAATGAAAGACTTCACGAAATGGAAACGCCGAATACCAAATGATAATAAATAGTATATTAAATAAATATATTTTTCTTTTAAATTTCGGAATGTGTTGCCCATGAATTATTTATTTTCTTGTACAGAAGCTTCACATATTGGGGTAGTTTTCCGCTATAATAAATTGTCCGCTATTTATTCAACACAAATATAACGACTGAGAACTTTGATATCATAGTCATATAACACGATTAAAATGATAAGCTGCGATAATTGTATTGTAAACATTATGTGAACTGCTTGGGAGAAAATTTGATGGTTGAAAAATTTGTTGTAAGTTTGATTTGTACTCTATTCAGATCGCGATGGTTCGTTACCGCCTGGACTAGATTATTGACGTCATTTCAGAAGTGACATAATGTATGTATCTGGGCAAAGCAATAAAACGTTTTACGTATAGAGTGAACTAATTAGAAATGTAAAAAGGAATAATGGAAATTAGTTTCTTTTTTACTTAATATGTAATCTTTCGTCATAATACATAATTTAATAGTGCGACACATGTTATTCTGGAATGCAAGGTGCAAGTACATATTCTAGTGTTTGGAAAACAACTACTCTAGAATAATTTTACGAAATAGTCACACCATCACAATTTCAAAAAAATCCTTCAAACGGTTTCCCAGATATCCATCGATGGAGTTCGTGGTGGGACACCCTGTATATATAAGTTAACAACAATGCGCTGATCGACTTCTGTTATTCACAATTAGAGACTGACTATCAGATGTGATGTTAGTTGCATGAATTAACATTTTTTTGTGTTATTTTTTTAACATTGTATAAAGGTATTTTTCATGAAATATATTTTTTGTGATCAACAATTTTTTACATTTGCCTGACTGTCGTTAATTGACATTTCTTTCTTTTTCAGAACAAATTCAACAATAGTCCTACGATAAAGTTCCTAGGAAGCGAAAATGGGGTGAGTAATTTTAACGTAAAATAAATTTTAGTGGCAATGTTAATTGATTAAATATGTACCTCTTTTAAACTTACATCATTGAAATTAATAACTTAATTACATATCCCTTACTTCGATGTAATTTTACTTACTCAGTATTGTAATTTTGAATAATATAATTAATACATTTGTTGTGGAATTCATCCAGGAATATACTCGTATTGTGTTACCCTTCGGTGCACTTGTATTTCCAAATGGTTGAATCACTTTGGTGACTACAGAGACACTGTTGAGGTTCAGAATCAGAAATCCACTAGTGTTTAAAAAAAAATAGGTATTAAAAATGATAGAAATAACATAACGGGTATCGGACACTAATAGTCCGAAAATATGTTAGTTTCTAAAATATAACAGAAGTTTTCTGAAATCAAACATCAACCAAATGAATCCTGAATTGATTTTTTCTGAAATTCGCTTGAGATATTCTGAAACACAACTGATACTTTCTGAAATACATGCAAGAAAACCGTATACCCAAGCAGAATCATTCGAAAAATGATCGCACAGACGCCTCCAAAGCTATCGGGCATTAAAATTCCACCTATAGAGCTAATAAACCCCAAGTGGAATATGCGCGCAAGAATCTCGTGCATCATCAGCGAAACTTATGGCCATCCTTGACATTTCCCAGAAACAAGTCGAGTGAAAGAGCGACACAAATTAAAACAGACGCATACGTTTATTAGAGCGAGAGTGTGTCTTCTAGACACTGCTATTTCTAATCAAGTGGATATACAATAGATCTTATATTATCTATAATTTTATGTACAAGGTGCAATGTCGTAAACATTTGGATTTGTAGGGTTAAGAAAGGTTATCTAGATAATTTTTTAAACTCTTATAATCGTTTTACTTTTACCAGTTTCAACCTAATAAATTAATTGATCAAGGAATTGGCCAAGAAATTGGAGACGATAGAACCGGTTCTGGTTGGTCGATTTTGGGAATTTGTGGTTCTTAATAAGTATGTGCCAATTACAGTTACATTTTAAACTCTTGGTACTTGTTTTTATTTTAAATAGTTATAAAATAGCTTTAATTAAGCACTACTGAATAGTGTGTGTGTGGTTTGTTCCACATAAGTTGACTGACCACCAAATAATTGCAAAATATTTCAGGAGGTGCTTGCTGAAGTTATTTTGTGAAAAAAAAGTTCATGTAAACGTAGGTCAAAATATGCTTTGTTTCCGAGATACAGTGTTTAAATTTTAATTTTTTATCTATTTTAATTAATAATTTCAGAGTTTTAAGGATATTGACTTTTATTTAGAAATATTACAGCAACCTACTAGATAATGTATCAATAAAAATTAAAAATACACAACTTGCAATAAAATATGTTTTCTTTTTTCCTCAAAAGCGATACATCTTACGAAAAAAATTGATGAAACCAATTTCATTCATTCAAAAGGGGAAAAAGTCAGTTTTTTATTAAAAAAGATTGTGGCATTCTCGCACGAACGTCACTGGTGCAAATAGAAATATTCGGATCACCCCAAAAAATGCACATTTATCCTTGCAAAGCGTTCTTCAAATTTCCAGTCAATATCTTTGACTGAAATAATTAATAAAAAATTTAAATTTAAACTGTCTGTTATAAACGTTGTAGAGCATAAAATTCTACATAAAAATGGTTTATTGACTTTCTCTTGTACCGTTAAAATTAACACAGTTAGGGTGGCCAGAAGTTAAGGTAAGATTTCAAAAATTTAAAAAAAATAAGCAGAAAAATGAATGAATTTTATAATTTTTTTTTCAATCGACTTTAAAGAATGTAAAGTTTCTTTTCAGAGAACGATATATATTTTTTAATTTTTAATAAAAAAGTTATAACAATTTAAGTTTTCTTAATCGTTAACTTTTATGATTTGACATTAAAACAATTTTTTTCTATGCCGTTCGATTGATTATTTAAAATAATGAAAAATTGCTTTTAAAATTTGGTTTTAAAAAAATCACGTTCGCTTTATAATTGTTATAACTTTTTTATTAAAAATTAAAAAATATATCTATTTCTCTGAAAAATAGTTTACAATTTTTAAAATAGATTGAAAAAAAATTATTAAATTCATTAATTTTTTTTGCTTGTTACGATTTTTTATATTTCAGAAATCATCCCTTAACTTCTAGTCCCCCTAACTCTGTTAATTTTAATAGTACAAGAAAAAGTCAATAGACCATTTTTATGTAGCATTTTCTGCTCTACAACTTTTATTTTTTTTGTAGCTCTTACCCCTTCATTAGTTATCATGAAAACCCCCTTTATTTTATCTTTTTTCGCCCCTGGCCGAGAATTGAAAAAAAATTAAAATTTGGGATTAAGTCGACAAACTTTAAGAACTTCCTAATAAAAAAAAGAAAAAAGTATACATTTCTTTCCAGAGAAAAAATTCGAATTTTTTAAATAACTTCTAAATGAAGAAGGCTATTTAAGCCAAATTTGGCATGGCACATCTTCTTATAAGATACCATTTTTCCATAGAAGAAGTAGAAGTCCCGCAAGCAACCAGTGGCGGAGTTATGGGGACTCACTCATTAAATTATAAAAAAATTAATACGGCCCTACTGAAAATAAAAAATGATGTTGTTTTTAGATAGAACAGTTTATTATTGACAAAAAGTGTACATTCCCTTTTTTCCTAACTCTTATAGTTTCATGGCAAAATGGATTTTTCGGAAGGATGCTTCTGGATTCTATCGATAAACTTTAAAATGAACCTCAACAAAAGTTTTCGAGTAGGCTGCTGTCAAGCAATGTTAATTTGACGTTTTAAATGGTATTTTGCGAATTGTTGCATACATTATCCATTAGATAAAGCGTTGAAACTAATAATAGAAATAAGTCCATATTTTCGAACAATGAATATGCTGATATGGTCTTTGTATATGGTTTTTGTGATGGAAATGCCACGGCGGCTCGCCGTGAATATGAATTAAGATTTCCTCATCGCAGGCTACCAGTAAAGGAAATATTGCGAGACTTCTATGGAAAAATGATATCCTATAAGAAGATGTGTCATGCCAAATTTGGCTTAAATAGCCTTCTTCATTTAGAAGTTATTTAAAAAATTAGAATTTTTTGAAAAGTCTTTAACGTCCTATATATTTCGAAAATGAAGCGTCTGGAAAAAAAATTATACTTTTCGGAACCAACAATTAATACAGCAAAACGCAAATGCATATAAAAAAACATAAATATTCGATGAAGTAATTTTAACGACTGTCTAGCCAAAAAAACGTGGAGGACATTCGGTGTAAACAAAACTCTCCTACGAATTACCAAAGAATATAAATTGACGTTAGACTTTGTTAATTAATTTCAATCTGTGTCTTCCTTAAAGTTACCAAAGTCAACCTAAGTCGAAGTTACGAGGAAAAACTTTGTCAGGGTTAAGCTATTGAGTAAGAAATAAATATACTGTACTCAATGTTAACCCAATGAAGATATCTGATTAATATCACGTTCCAATTTACTGACTAACAATAAGTGAGTCACACTTTTTCAGTGAAAGTTCAATTTTTTTCGAAAAAACGTTATTTTTACCCACATAATATTTTTACTAATTACATAATCATCGCTGATGACATAAGATAAATGTTTTAACATGACACTGACATTATCTTTTAACTTAGTCGCCAATTGTTATCGATTCTTGTTTGGTTAATATCAATCATTTTAATTGAGCTAGAGTTAACCGCTTTTGTCGTATTGTTGGCAGGTCTACCGATGTTAGCTCAATTGCTACACATTATGTAGGTATTGTTTAACATTCCCATTTTAGTGTCAAATACCGATTTATAAGCGATATATAACGTCGTTTTACCCAACATATAATTTTTGAAGCGAAATGTATCTTATAAAGGAAAATTTAATAAAATATTTGAAGGGATAAATGTGCTTCAAGTTTGTACAATGAAGGGCAACTTAAAGTCCCCACTAGTTGGATCGCTCTCATTCTCTTGCGCCCCACCTCAAATAATTAGGTATGTTTCGGACTGGGAGTGTTGTTTGGAAATATACACCGTGGCACCAAAAACTGTTGTATTCAATAGGGTGAATAATAATTAATCCGATAACAGTTGCATTTGATATTTTAAAATATATTATTTTATTAATGATATGTTAACATTTCGTAGTTAGTTAAATAAGAATATTGAATTATTTGTTTTAAATAAAATATTATATAAAAACTATTTACTTTTTTAATTATTGTTCGCAACATTCAATACCTGCATATTTAAAGTTTTTTTTCCATTACTAGAAATATTCATACAGGGCGGGCCAATAGTGATAATATTATTCCTATTCCATACAGATAGAGAATAATTTTTAGGCGCCTTAAGGGGGACATTTTTAAAATAGTATGAAGTATACGGGGTGATTCCGAAGGCCGCATCAAACATGGTTTTTAAACGCGCGCAATGACCCGATTTTTTATATTTCATATTTTAATCATGATAATAATGAAATAATGATGGAACAGTAAACAATCTTCATTTTGATTCTGTGTTTTATATACAAAATCTTTCAGACAAAATAACTAATGTTTTCGGGAATGAATCAAACATATACCTAAATTGCAAATGAAAATATAAAATTTATTAATAATGTATACACTATAAACGTAAAAGGTAAAGATGATTTTCTTAAAAAAGAAACAATTTTGTTTATATTATACCACTTTATAATAATAATTGTGTATTACAATTATGTAGACCAAATCTAAATTCACTCATCATATATCTCTCTAACTATAAAACTAATATTAAAAATAATAAACGTAATTGTGCTTGGCGCATAAATAGCTAATACTTTTCAATTAATTTAGATGTCAACTATTAATAAACAATGAAACTTTGATGTAAATAAAAATACGTTATTTTTAACAAAATATATTATATATTTTTTATGACAATAAATATTTAAACGATTAGAATAATAATAATAGCAGTAACACTAA